ATATGGTGTGTTAGTTACTTTTCTCTCTTGATGCTCAGAATTAATTAAGGAAAGGTTTATTTTGCTCACAATTTGTGGAAGTTTCAGCCCATACTTGGTTTGCTTCAAGGCAGAGGGTAAAGTTCACGGTGGTGGAAAACATAAAAAGCAGCAAGAGCAAAAATGAAAGAGCAGAAAATGAAGTCTCTTCACCTTTCTTATATTGTATGCAGGCTACCACCCTAGGGTGAGCGTAGCCCTCATACCCATAATCCTAGTATTTGAAAATAAATCATTCAAAAACTCTAGAAGCTTGACCCTATGACTGCATGAGGCTTTGGAGGACATCTAAACACAAACCATAACAGACAGCTATACTCTTACCTTCTATTAGTTTATTGAAAAGAAAGTCTTGTGCTTATATCACTTGATCATTTTTTCCTATGTCTTATAATATGAGAAACTACTTTGAAAATAACAATAAGCAATGTACTAACTATTGTTATTCTCCTAGTATCTTATTTTGAAATTTTGCATGTTTTGTTTTTCCCTTTAAAAGAAAAAAAGAAAATTTTATTTTTCTATGTAAGCAAACAATTTAAGAATATCAGTTATTTTTTGAAACCTTCAAAAGGAGAGAAAAGTTACCAAAATAAATTGACAGTAACAAGATATATATCTTTTCAAAGTAAAGGATTATTTGAAAATAAAATTAAGAAAATATTTAATAAGGTAAGGCAAATACAACAAATGACAGAAAAGGAAAAAATATAAGAAGTTCAATCCAGAAAACTCAGTAAGAATTCTTGAGAGGTCAGAAAAACATAAAGAAGAAGTTATTAGACAACTTTCCAGAATTAAAGAACATGTTTCTAGGTTACATGTGCAACAAAATACCTAACAGAATTAGTAAATGAATGAATGAACTAATGAATTAATTATTCAAGATGCATCATAGTAAAATTTTGTTACTTGAGGAATAAAGAAAATTTTCCAAAATCTTTTCCAACAAAGACAAAACATAGTTCACAATACATAACTACAATCCAAATTATATTAAACTATTTAAAATTTAGACTGGAAGCTGAAACTATAGAATGATATGCTTCAAAATCCTGAGGAAAAATTATTCCCAACTATTATTCTACACCATTCATAATTATGAATAAAGGTAAAGGTAGAAGTAAGACAGTCTTAGATATGACTTAAATATTTGTCTGTCATGTACTTTTTACTTGAAAGATATCAGAGGACATGATTCAGCACAATAAAGGAATAAACTAAGAAGAAATAAGACAATCATCCAGGAAAGAGCAAATTCAGCATAGGAGAGAGGGAAGTAGTAAAGCCCTGGACCAACCAAGCCAGATCAGAGCAGTAGAATTAAGGGCTCAAGGAGGGTGACACCAGGGAAAATCATATTTAAGTGCTAGATTATCACATACATTTGGGTTATAACATTGATAGATTTTTAAAATCATTTTTAAAGTAAATTTAGGGCCAGTGAAATAGCTCAATTGATTAAAATGCCTGCTTAGGCAGACACAGGGGCCAGGGTTCCATCCCCAGCCTGCCCTGCCAGCCCCTCCCCAGGGCATGCTGAGATGGCATTGAGATTGGGTGTGGTGGCTCATGCCTGGAATCCCAGCACTTGGGAGGCTGAAAAAAGGAAAATGACAGAGTCCAATCTATGTAGCGAGAGCCTGTAGACCTTGCACTAAATACATAAAAAATTAACTAAAATAAAGCAAATTTACTGGAAGATTTTAAAAACACAGAATTTGGGCCTGGGAGATGGCTCAGTGGAATAAGTGCTTCCCTGGCAAGTGCAAAGGCTTGAGTTCAATCCCTGGTTCCGCAAAAAAAAAAAAAAAAAAAAAAAAAAAAAAAAAAACCCACAGAATTTACAAAACATTCACATGAGTAAATTTAAACTGAGGCAAGTACTAACTCCAGAAAAAAATTTACAATTGGTCTCCACAAGAAGCAACAGTGGCATATTTTGGGCTCCCTAGTAATTGCACACATGTGCACCTGTCTCTCGGAGTCTCTGAGATTGTTTCCAGGATATCCTGAGAATATCAAAATGTGCAGATGCTCAATACTGTATATACAACTACACAATATTTTGTATAGTATGGTACCCCTACTATAGACTTTGAATAATTCTAGATTATTTACAACATCCAAAACTACCTAAGTGCTCCATAACTAGTTGTCATAGTTTATTGTTTAGGGAATAATGACATGATAGTCTATACATGTTTTAGAACAGAAGTAATTTTTTCCTTAATATTTTCACTCTACAGCTCTTTGAATCCGTGGATACAGAGAGTCAACTATAGTATAATGAAAAGGAGCTCTTCTTAATAAACTTTCACTTTTGAACAATTTAAGAAAATATTATAAATATAGTATATTTATAATATACTATAATACTATAATATATAGAGAATTTTCATGTACTTTCCCGGTTTCTCTTCATACTAATATCTCATAGACTATGGAGCATTTGCCAACACCGGGTCACTCTATAGATGTCACTTTAATGTCACATATTTTCCCACTAATGTTCTTTTGCCTGCTCCAGGATCCAATGTTTGATTCTATATCTGCTTAAGGAATACCGGCTTTTGACTTAGCCAAACTTGCATTTTAGCAGGATTAGAGTGTCTGAGAGGAGAAACAGAGGGGGTTTTGTGGAGGAGAAGAAAATCTTCATCTTTTGTAATAGGATACCACAGTTGATCCAATCTAAAGCTCCAAAGTCAAAAAATGGTCAAGCAAGACTTTTTTTAAATAGGTGAAGTGGCTAAAAATTTGAAAGTAGCTGCCACAGACACCTGAGACTAGGCCTCAAAGAGGGCTTAAGGAAGGGACTACTGGTTTTTGACATAAGACTTCCTATTCTGATGTTTATAACTATACATAGGAATTATTATTATAAGGTAAAAATGCATTTACCTACATAAAGAGAAAAATAAAATGAACACTCTTAAAATGAACTCATTAAAGAGAATTTAAAGCTGGGAGTGGTGACACATACCAGTAATTTCAGCTATGTGGGAGACTGAGGCATGAGGATTACATGTCAGAGGCCAGTCTGGGATATTTTGAAGACCTAGCTTTGAGTAAAGTTTCAAAATGCTGGTGGCATAGCTCAGAGGAAGAGCACTTGCCTAACGTGTGCAGCCTTGGATTCAACCTCCAGTACTGCAAAACAAAATAACTTTAGGTATCAAAAGATTAATACATATTTGAAAATAAGCTCAATCTTTTTAATACTCCAACAAATGCAAACTTAAAAATGTTAAATCAAAGTTTTGCCAATCAATTTATTTATTTATTTATTTTTAAATTTTTTTTTTTTTGCCAATCAATTTATGACAGAATGGTAAAAATAGTAATATTCAATACTGAGTTTTATTCAATGAGACAAGAACTTATTCATTTCTACTGAAACAGGATAAATGTGCCATGCTACCACATTTTTGTAAAGATATATGTGTGTGTGTGTGTGTGTGTGTGTGTGTTTTAAGAACTGAAAAATGTTCTTGCTCTTGGCACCAGTTAAAATTACTTTTAGGGTATTATGTATAGGACTACAAATTATAAAATACCTCAAAATACAGAGAAATATTGTGTGGAAAAACTATAATTTTAAAAAAGAATAATATTCAAGAAGTAGCTGTATTAAGATGAGAAAATGGTAAGATTATAAGAAAGCTTAGACAATAATGACAAGTTTATGTATGTACACAGTTTCAAGTGTGTAAATGGAATATATGACAAAGTCTTCAAAGAAATTCAGTAAAATTGAAGTTAATGGTTATTATCCCAAGGTGGTGGGATTGTGGAGCATTTTTATTTTTTATCTTTTTACATGCTGAACTTTATACATTATCTTATAGTAAGAACGCATGATATTTAACCTTGAGTGTTATCTAAACATGGGGGGCATGCAACTGATAGAAAAATTGTCATCTTTAAGAATGGGTCTTTGATTCCAGCTTGGCTCTTTGCTTTCAGATGGTGCCTGTACTTTTCCCACTTATGAATACCTCCCTGTCCAAGCCCTGCAGTCTCATGAACTAGGCACCTTGATACAAGGGAGAAGGACGTATGACTTCCTCAGTCAGACTTCGGGCTCTATAGGGAGACACTGACGCTTAAACAATCACAGCACAAGGTGACAAATGCTACTATTATCTCAGCCATCTGACATTGCCACATTTATAGGTCAAAGACAGGACATGAATGGCAATTTTTATGAATGCTATGAGAGCAGAGAGAACAAGGGGGAAGAAGGTCTGTATTTTCCAGGAGTATCATTTTTATAATGGGAAGTTTCTCACGGTGGAATGTCAAGGGTGGGCACAGTTGCTAGGTGACACAAAGTGGTAAGATGCTAGTGAGAAGCGCTTTTCATTCTCCTGGGATGTTATTTGCGAAAGACAACCCACCGAGGATACTGGAGATTATAGTGAGCTTTTCAGAACTAGATGAGAATCACCTGCTGAGAGGAGGCAATGGAAAGAGAAGAGTAGGTGTTCATGGAGAGGAAGATGCCAAGGAAGATGAGTGAGCACGTTGTGTGGTGGGTGGAGAGGGCTGAGCAGAAGAAGTCAGGGAGAGAAACAGAAGGAGACAGGCCTTGATGAATCAAAGGCAAAAGACCTCCCAGAAGGCAGCATGCAGGCAAGCGAGAGTGGGAGGAGGCCACTGGAATTGACGCAGGCCATTGGGTGTGCCCATCGGCAGGCACTGATTAACCTAAAATGAGAGAGATGAGAGCAGAAATCAAAATACAAAGGGATGATATAAAAGCAAAGTACTGTGAACTGCACAACAGCCACGACTCAAGTCAGACCCAGACTGTGTACTAAAGGTCCATCATGCTGAAGGCACTTTATTTACCTGCTTTGTGCCTTATCATGCTCGTTTGTAAAGATAAACAAAACAATAGCCCCTCCGTGATAGATCGCTCTGAAAGACCCAATACTTCACCGTCTTGTATCTACCATAGTTCCCTCCCACACTGAAGGGGCCAGGAAGATAGCTCTGGCTCAGATTGTTAATTTTTTTTTTAACTTTCTTTAGCCATAAGAATAAAGTAGAAGTGACACTGAGCCAGTTTTGACCTCAGGAAGCTTTG